CCCGCCCCGCCCCCCCCCCCGTGGCTTCGGCTCCCCCAAGTGGGTGACCACTGGGTGGCTCTGACTGTGCCCACCCCCAGGCTTCCACGAGCAGCGTTCCCACTGCAGCCCCAATCCCTGCTTCCGAGGCGTGGACTGCATGGAGGTGTACGAGTACCCCGGCTACCGCTGCGGGCCCTGTCCCCCGGGTCTCCAGGGCAATGGCACTCACTGCAAGGACATCAATGAGGTGGGAGGGCAGCACCCAGGGCACACAGCTGGGGGAGTGTCAGGAGGGCCCGAGAAGGTGGGGTGAACGCTGGCCAGCAGAGGAGCCTGGGGTGACATGAGACGGGAAGGAGACGGAAGGCCTGCAGCAGGGACTGAGGGCCACACTGGGGAGGAGCCGGGGGTGTGGAGGGAAAATGGAGACAGCTCGACATGGGGCTGTGGTGGGCTCAGGAGCACCTGGGCTGGGTGGGGAGAGCTGCAGAAGGGGCAGGCCAGCGTCCAGGAGCCCTGGTAGAAGGGGCCATGGGGAGGCCTGAGCATTGCCTTCTCCTTGTCCCCAGTGCGCTCACGCCGACCCCTGCTTCCCGGGCTCCAGCTGCATCAACACCATGCCCGGTTTCCACTGTGAGGCCTGTCCTCGAGGCTACAAAGGCACACAGGTGTCTGGTGTGGGCATCGACTACGCCCGAGCCAGCAAACAGGTCGGGCTGGGCAGTGTGTAGACAAGGGGTCTTGGCTTCATAAAGCCCAGGGGACTTCTGGGTTGGATGTGGGGCCCTTGTGAGAAATGGGATGAGGCTGGCTCTGCACGGGCTTTGGGTCTGGGCTTCATGCTGGTGTTCCCAGAGAAGGCCACATCAGTTGCCTCAGACCCACCATAGAGCTGGTCCCACCCAACGTCTGCCCCTCCAGGTCTGCAACGACATTGATGAATGCAACGATGGGAACAATGGTGGCTGTGACCCCAACTCTGTCTGCACCAACACCGTGGTGAGCTGAATACCTAGACAGCAACTGGGCTGACAGGAAGGCATGACTCTTACCTTCACATTCCCTGCCGCCTCCCTTAGGGCACTGCACAGGTCTCTTTGTAGTCTTGGTTTGGAATCCTGGTTTGGCCTTTAGCAAATTATTTAACCTTGGGACAAGCAGACGGCATAGCTGGACTTCCACATGGTTGACCATGGGTCAAGTCCTGGATCTGGCTGCTTGAAAATCATGTTGGGCGTGTATGCTCCAAATCCTGAGAAAACGGAGAAGGGATTGTTGTGTGGCCATCCCCACCAGGGAATGATTTCTTTTTCTTTTTTGAGAGGTTTTTGCTATAAGGCGTGTGCGCCAGAAAGACAGAGACAGAAAGTGAGAAATCATCCCCAAGGGGGATGGCCACACCACAATCCCTTCTCCTCCTGGGATCTTGGGCACGCACACACATGTGCCCAGTGTGAGTTCAAGCCACCGGGTCTGGGACTCGAACCATGGTCAGCTACTTGAGACCCCAGTGACATAGCCATTACACCAGCTGCTGGTCCCTCCACCATGGGGTCATTTACATTTCCTCTCACTCTCTCTTTCTTGCAAGCACACATGCCCTAAGGCAAAAATCTCTTTTAAAACAAACAAATCTTTTTTATTTTATTTTTTGCCATAGGGCATATGTGTTCATGGGAGACAGAGAGAAAGTGGGAAATCATCCCCAGGGTGATGATCATGTCACAATCTCTTTTCTATTTTCTCAGGCTTTGGGGCACACAGGCACGCATACCCAGCTTGACCTTCAAGTAGCAGGGTCCGGAACTCAAACACAGCCTGCCCTATGGAAGTCTTAATACCTGAACCAGCACGCCACCTGCTGGCCCCTCTACTTAACCTTCCTGAGCCTTGGTGTCCTCCTTTGAGTAACGGTGCTATTACCTCCCTTGAAGGGCTGTCAGTGCAAACCCAGAAGAGACACCAATATACCTGACATGCTGCAGCACCGTCCAGACCTCGCGGGTGGGGTCCATGGGCCTGAGGCTCACCCTTCTTCCTGAGTGAGTCCCTGCTTCCCCCCCTCTCAGGGCTCTTTCAGATGTGGTCCCTGCCGCCTGGGCTTCCTGGGCAACCAGAGCCACGGCTGCCTCCCAGCTCGGAGCTGCCACAGTCCAGCCCACAGCCCCTGCCACGTCCAAGCTCACTGTCTCTTTGAACGCAATGGGGCAGTGTCTTGCCAGGTGAGCTAGGCCTTGGGCTTAGAAGGAAGGGAAATTTGGGAGAGGGTCATGAAGCCTGAGCAGGGAAGAAAAAGCTGCGGGAACCAGCCCAAACCACCTCCTGCCCTTTGTGTTGGCCAGTGTAACGTGGGCTGGGCAGGGAACGGGAACGTGTGTGGGCCCGACACGGACATCGACGGCTACCCGGACCAGGCGCTGCCCTGCATGGACAACAACAAACACTGCAAGCAGGTGCAAGGACGTGCGGGCCGGTGAGCGTGGAGAGTCCCCGGCTGTGCCAGGGGACCTCATCCTCCTCTTCGTCCCCCTCACCTTTAGGACAACTGCCTTTTAACACCCAACTCTGGACAGGAAGACGCTGATAATGATGGTGTGGGAGACCAGTGTGATGACGACGCCGATGGGGACGGGATCAAGAATGTGGAGGTGACTCCCAGGCAGCCCACCCCTCCCGGCCCCCTTGCTCTCCTTCTGTTCCATGTCTCTTGCCTCAGGCTCATAATCCTGCCTCTCCTCGACACAGGGCAGCTTTCTAGAAAAGGCCCCCATCCTCCAGCTTAGGGGGACATAAACCTGGCACCCCGGACAAGGGGGACTACCTGGAGGCTGAGTGGGTGGGACTGTGCCAAGCAGGCAGACTGTCACAGGGGTGGTGATCTTAGACAGGGTACAGGGACAAGGTGGGCATGAGGCAAGGGCCAGGGGCTCAGAGACCAACCCTTCCCCTCCCACCCCCTGCCCAGGACAATTGCCGGCTGTTCCCCAACAAGGACCAGCAGAACTCAGATACGGACTCTTTTGGTGATGCCTGTGACAACTGCCCGAATGTTCCCAACAATGACCAGAAAGACACGGATGGCAATGGAGAAGGAGATGCCTGTGACAATGACGTGGACGGGGACGGTACAGGCTTGGGGCCGAGGGGTGGCTGGGAGCCTGGATCCTGGGGGGAAAGCAGGTGGCTACAAGAGAAACGGGGCGCTGTGCTTGCAGCTGCCGGCTTGGGTGTGAGATAACCTGCAGCAGACGCCAGTGGGAGTGCGAGGGATGGTGGTGGCTTAGCAGGGTGTGGGCGGGAGGGGAGGGCGACACGGGCCCATGCAGAGATGCTGACCAGTGGTCCTCTGGGTGGGGAGACGAAGCCCGGGGCTTTCACCAACCTGGAAGAGAAGGACATGTTCTAGTGACAGCCTTGTGCTTACCCCGTCACCCCCCCCCACCCCCATCTTCCAGGCATTCCCAATGGACTGGACAATTGCCCGAAAGTCCCCAACCCTCTACAGACAGACAGGGATGAGGACGGGGTGGGAGATGCTTGTGACAGCTGCCCCGAAATGAGCAATCCCACCCAGGTACAGGGGAATGGCGAGGGCAGGGAGGGCTGGGAAAACTAGGGCATCCGCTCTAGCCCTTTGGATGGGAAGGGGTCAGGTCACCTCTGAGTTACCGAGAGATGGTGAGAACAGGCTCCTCTCTCAGACAGATGCAGACAGCGACCTGGTGGGGGACGTCTGTGACACCAATGAAGACAGGTAGGGTCATGCCAGAGGCGCAAGGTCTTACAGGGATATCTTCCTCGCTTGTCGTGTCCGCTCCGTCTCCTGTGTGATTCAGTCCTGATGTTCCTCCACGGAGCAGGACGGCATCCTCACAGTCTACCCTCCACTCCTCCTGCTGACCCTGCACCTCATCCAGCCAACTGCAAGGGTCTGGACGGATGGCGGGTAGACTCCAGAGACTCCTCAGCTGAGGAGGCAGGGAAGGATGGGGGTCTTTAAAGCCTTTATTTGGTGCCTGTTCTGAGCAGCGATGGGGACGGGCATCAGGACACCAAGGACAACTGCCCACAGCTGCCGAATAGCTCCCAGCTGGACTCCGACAACGATGGACTTGGGGATGAGTGTGATGGGGATGACGACAACGACGGTGTCCCGGATTACGTGCCTCCCGGACCTGACAACTGTCGCCTGGTACCCAATCCCAATCAGAAGGACTCAGACGGTAAGCCGGGGGCCCAGCAGTGGCTGGGACTGGGGTAGGGTTTGTTCAGGGACAGGCAGCAGGGGAGCGAGGAAGGGCAGGGTGGGGAAAGAGGTCAGGAAGGCGAGGCCCAGGGGCGCTAGTGCTGGCTAGGGGCAGTGACCAGGGCTTCCTGAGCACCCGGCGTCTCCCTGCCTAGGCAATGGCGTTGGTGATGTGTGTGAAGACGACTTCGACAACGACGCAGTGGTCGACCCCCTGGATGTATGTCCCGAAAGTGCAGAGGTGACCCTCACGGATTTTCGGGCCTATCAGACCGTCGTCCTGGATCCCGAGGGTGATGCTCAGATCGACCCGAATTGGGTCGTGCTCAACCAGGTACCCAGCCAGTGGGTTGAGTGGGCGCTGTCAGACCGGATCACTGGGTGGGGCCCAGGTGGGGAAGCACACCTGCAGCAGGGCTCTTCATTATACAACCCTAGGGCATGGAAATTGTTCAGACCATGAACAGTGACCCCGGCCTGGCAGTGGGTACGTACGGAACACTCAGCTCAGCAATTTCGATAATTTCAGAATACAGGAGTCCTACAGGAGCAGAGGGTGAGGCAGGGGAGGACAGGGAGGGACTGAGGGGCCAGAGCCAGGGCAGTGAGGCAAGCTGGCCACACCTACAGCAGGCGTCCCTTCCCACCCCCGCCCTATGTTGGGCCACAGAAGCTTCACGGCCCCTGACATTCCTCCCACCCAACGCCAGGATACACAGCCTTCAATGGCGTGGACTTTGAAGGCACCTTCCACGTGAACACAGTGACCGATGATGACTACGCAGGCTTTCTCTTCAGTTACCAGGACAGCGGCCGCTTCTACGTGGTCATGTGGAAACAGACGGAGCAGACCTACTGGCAGGCCACACCCTTCCGGGCCGTGGCTCAGCCTGGGCTGCAGCTCAAGGTCCCCCAGTTGTCCCGGATCTCCCAACCCGGGGCCCTTTCCCACAGGCCCTCCGACCAGCCCTAGGATCGCCCTCACAACCTGCCTGGGACCCTTCTTACCTAGCCATCTGGCCTGGTTGTCTCTCTGAGGCTGCGGGGCAGTTTCCAGACACCTTGACCCCCTTTACCACCTGCTCTGACTTACCTGTTCTCTCCTCTCGCCCTGGCCTGTGGTGACCATGTCTTTGCCAATGCCCCTCCCCGCAGGCAGTGACATCGGTGTCAGGCCCAGGTGAGCACCTCCGGAACGCCCTCTGGCATACTGGCCACACCCCTGACCAGGTACGGCTGCTGTGGACTGACCCACGAAACGTGGGCTGGAGGGACAAGACCTCCTATCGATGGCAGCTGCTGCACCGGCCGCAAGTTGGCTACATTCGGTGAGAGGAGGAGCTAAGCCCTCTGGAGGACCCCAAACTGTGCTCTTCCTTCCCCTTTGGCTGGGACTCACCAGCGACCTCCCCTCTACTTAATTCCTTGGTGCTGTGGGAGGGACTGTGCCGCTTTTCTCCATCTCCCTTCTCACCACAGACACAGGACCTACAGGCGATGCTGGGCAAGTCATTCTTCCTCTGTGCCCCGTTTCCCCTCTGTAAAACAAGGGCACCGGGCTAGGTGTCCTTTACAACCCCCTGGGAGCCTCTAAACCCCAGGCCCATCTGTGGAAGGGCAGTCACGTCCATAGCTGGTACAGCTCAGCACCGGCCTCAGGGACGGGTTTGACCTGGAAGGGACCATCATTCACAGAACAGCAAACCAGGGCCCGGACTTCACAGGCCCATCTGTTCCGCACTTTGTCCACAACTTTGCGTCCCCTCCAACAAGGGCCCCTAGTTAGTGGGGATGACGGGGAAGGGAGAGGGAAGAGCCCAGTGAGTCCAAGGACCTGGGTTGGTTCCCCTTTAAGGTGCCTGGGGCTGTGGGGCGCCAGGGCAGGGGATAAAGGGGGGTGGACTAGAGCCTGGGAAGCGGGTGACTTCACCCCCCAGCCCATTGTGCTCATCGTCATGGCAACCCAATCCTCGCTTGGAATGTGGCTGGTGCTTTGAGATGCAAAAGGGGCTGGACAAAGAGCTAGGGGCCCCAGGCCTGAGAAAAGCACCCCCTTCCCTCCCTTTTCCTTCCTCCCTTTGCCCCCCTCCCTTCTCTCTAGGCCTGGTGAGCTGTAGGGGGCTGGGGAGAAGCCAGGCCCTGGGCATGGTGGTACAATGTCCACTGGCACCCTAGCACCAATAGACACCTCTATCTTGGACAGGGTGAAGCTTTATGAGGGTCCCCAGCTAGTGGCAGATTCTGGGGTGATCATTGATACATCCATGCGAGGGGGGCGTCTTGGTGTATTCTGCTTCTCCCAAGAAAACATCATTTGGTCCAATCTCCAGTACCGATGCAATGGTAAGGCTCTAGACAGAGGTCAGCCTGACCCCTCGTGCCCTGGCAGGACGAGCTGCATCCTCTGACCTGACTTATCTCCCCTTCTTCAGACACAGTGCCCGAGGACTTTGAGCCATTCAGGAGGCAGCTGCTCCAGGGAAGGGTGTGAGGAGGTGGCAACGGATTCCCAATCCTGATTTTAGATGGCCTCAGGGTCCATCCTGGAGACCCAGAGGTCTAAGCTACGGCCCCTCAGCCAACCGCAGACCATCCTCAGCACCCTTCAGTGTAGCCCGGGAGGGGTGGTAACCCCTCTGCTTAGGGGATGGGAGGTTTTCAAGGGGTACTACTCAGGCACTAACCCCAGGAAGGATAACGGCACACTGCTATAAAGTATCAGTTTTTTTCTAAGCCAGTGTAATTGCTTATTTAGGGATTTTTCTGGGACAGGGTGGGGAACAGAATCTGAGGGGGTAAGGGAGAGAGCCTGGAAGGATGGAAGTTAGAAATCTAGGAGAAGTTTGGCCGAGTTTGGGGCGCGGAGGGGGAAGGTGCATGGTTAAGGATGGGGTGCTGGTCGAGGACGGCTAAAGCCCTCCCAGCCCCACTTACTCACGGTGGCAGCGGCGACACTCCAGTCTATCTTAGCTTAGCTCAGCCAGGATCGAGAGGCAGGAGGGCGAGGGCTGACCCGCTCCGGGTGAGGGGGAGGCCGGGGGGCCGGGAGGGCCGGAGGCCGGGACGAGTGCAATATTGGCGGGGGAAAGAACAACACTGCACC